GGCTGAGGTAGTGGGGAGTGTTTTCTGACTGCTCGAGGCAGTCCTTGAAACAAAACTGGATCATTTCCAAAATAATGGAATATTAAACTCATTATTTTGAGAGGTTTCATAGTCAAGGTCGCTGCCAGCGTGATTGCGGTAATGCGGGGCTGATCGTCGATCCACTTCCGGAAATTCCGGGGTGAAAGGAATTCTTGCACGACAGGGAAATGGGAAAAATTATTAGTTGTCGAAAAATCAATGGAAATGTGTCTTCAATAACAAGTGGATTACAGAAAATTTTTTAACGTGCCGGCAATGGCCCAGTATAACTGACACTGTCCCGGCTTCTGACACCCTCAGCATTTTTTTAATGGATAGAATTTCACATTTATTTTTATTTTTATTTAATTGATTTAGCTTAAGAGTAAATGAATCATTTTAGTGCAAAGAGAATTTTGTATTCCTCCAGTCAGAGAAAAATGATCAATCGGACAATTACAAACATTCAGAATTGAATAACAAAGTACTGTTGAAATTTTTTTGGGATTTCGTGGAAGATCACGTATGAAAAAAATTCAATAGAAAACCTAGCGAATTTGCAAAAAAATCTATTGGAGTTCTATAGGAATTCTATGGGGTTTCTATAGGATTTCTATTGGAATTGTATTGAAAAATCCTTTTCGTTTTTTGCGCTGATTCTATTGGATAGTCTATAAGAAAAAGTCAATAGATTTCGAGTTTCTGTTTGAATTTTTCTCTTGAGATTTATTGTATAAGAATGTTTGGGCATCAATTTTCAAAGTTTTTTTCACTCGAGTAATGCAATGCAAAACAAAACAAAATCCAGCGGAAAAAACTAGGAAAATTTGTGCCCATCAATTCTAAGAGAGAAAATCGTAGAGAAAAATTCAAACAGATATTTGAAATCTATTGACTTTTTCTTATTGAATATCCAATAGAATCAGCGCAAATAACAAATAGAATTTTTCAATAAAATTCCAATGGAATTCCTACAGAATTCCAATAGAATTTTATAGCGAAATCGCAAGGTTTTCTATTGAATTTTTTCATGCGTGATATTATAGTAAATTTCATGAGAATGACACTGAATCGGATTTAGGGAAAAAATGGTTATCAGATTTTAAGTTTTCAGTAGAATTCACGGAAATTCATGAGTTTTCAATGGGAGTGAGATGGAAATTTCACAACTTGATTGAATTTTTAGTGAAAAATTAATATTCAGTATCATGACATGAATTTTCAATTTTTCCCTGAATTTTCCTGATTTTTATGAATTTTCACAGAATAATTGAACTGAAAAATCAAGTATTTTATTGATTTCCAGATTCTATGAACAGAAAATCAATGGAATATTTGATTTTTCAATGGCAAGATTCCCTGAAATTTCAGTGGAACTTGAACACGACAAAAATTTCCGAAATTTGGCACGGAAAATTGAGACGAAAATTTTTAACAGTGTAACGGCGATCTGTCGAAAAGTGGCACTTACTGGGACAGCTTCGAACTACCCTATTTCTGCCAGCCAGGGATTTGTACTGAACTGTAAAAGATACTTGGATATTCTTAAGGTGTTTCGTTCAAAAAGTAAGAATAAAGTTTCATCTATATAGATGAGAAATGACTGTCATTTTTTCTTGACAAGTTGTGACGGTCACAGAAGGGGGAGGGGGAATTGTGACAGCCGTCATGAACGCCTCGTCATGTGACGTATTTGCATCTCTACATGGGAAAGGTCTGGGTTGGACCATGGAACTGAGAGAGAGAAAACACTCGACAGGTTTACCAACTCGAGACGCATTTTAATATTATTTCAATAATTAGAAAAACATCCAATAAAAATTATTTGACACCCGTATGTGATGAGAAGAAAATCAATCAATCTGATAACTAAAATCAATATTCAAAAAATGTTCAAATGCCCCCTTAAGTAGTTACTTGAAAATGGGAAAATTTCGTGCTGAGCGATTGAATCAGGGCTCGAGAACAATAAGGCTCCCCTTCCGTTTCACCGGCCGGCGATCTACCCGCGAAACACCTTAAAGACGCGGCAGAACCTTGTGTTATTAACTGGGACATTGACAGCAATTTTTTTTTTGCATGAATCAGTTTATAAAATCCTATTTCTGTCTGGGATTTTAATTATTCAAGACTTATAAATGACTTATAAATGATACATGACAACCACGAGGAAAAGGTGTGGTAAATACTGATTATTTTTATTCCACCGCGCAATAAAATATCACACTTATCACATACAATACAACACATGCAATATTGAGTCTGGAAAAACTCATAAACCAATATGATAATGAGTAACCATTACGCATCCAGTTTAATCGCTTCTGTTGCTAAGGTTGACAGCTCAAATTCCATTCCGGTAATAGCTGAAAAAATTGATTGAAGAAAAAGATTAAACCAGTGTCAGAGCATCCCGGTTGTTTTCCAATCGGAGCGTCAACAATTTGTCAGTCGTTAAAATCAATACTTGTGAATTTATTGCGGGACAAAGTCCAAGCATTGAGACTACTCTCACGTTACTTTATATAATCAACATGTAATTCATCATCCCTGAATTTGCGGGGAAATAGATTTTAGGGGAGAACAACTCTCGCTACAAAATTCACATTTTTTTGGGTTAGTGTACTATATACTGAGCCCCCCCTCCTCTACCAAATTTTGTGCGGGTTCAAATATAACATACGGAGAGAATATAAAATTTAAAAAGTTAACTACGATTAACAATAGGAAACTTGCATGATTTTTTTTTAATTCTCTAATCTCAAGTTTGAGACCTGAATAATTCTTTTTTCATTCACAAACGTCTGAAATATTGATCATTAATTAATAATTAATTGTTAAAAGTTGAAGATTTCCAACGCTTTGAAATCGCTAATGACGTCGCACGGACGGTCGAGCGCTGGACCAATCACAGAATGGGTCGAGCCGACCTAACCCAATCCTGAGGTACGCCTCGGCCAATGGAGGACGACAACTCCCCACTCTTTTTTTTTCGGCCAATGAAGCGTTACCTGACCGTCTTCGTGACGTCATGATCGAAAAATTGGCTTCGAAAACGACTGATTCTCAGTTAATTATCATAAAACATCTAGACAATATTTCTTCTCCTTCTTTCGTTCATTATTGTTATATCTTCAACTCAAAGAGAGAGAGAGAGAGAGAGAGAGAGAGAGAGAGAGAGAGGCGCCATTACGGAGAGGGCATTACTAATTTTCTTATTCAAATGTCAAAGTCGTTTTTAATCCGTGGATATGCCCGAAGGAAGTACCAATTTTTCCAGCTATTCAGACAACACAAGTAAAAAATGAACAACAATTTTTATGAAGAGTATTACAACTTAACATTATTTATCATTAAGAATTCATCAATATATTTCATTGCCTTAATATTATTTTCTAAGTAAATTTTCTGAGCATCATCTCCTATATTAACATTCAATGCTCTTAAATTATAGGCAATATTTCTTCATAATTTTCGCTGTTTAGCAGTTCCCTATTACGTCCCGCGATTAAGGGGGGGGGGGTCTTTTATATTGTGACGATGTGTGACGGTGGTGGGAGAGCGGTCGTGCAGGTCGTGACGTCACGATCATATTTTTATTTTCTCATTTGATTAGAGAAAAAAAATTTAAAAGTCAAAAATACATTTTTTCTCATTTTTAAACAAAGGGGAGATGAAGAATACGATGGTTATCACTTGGTGAACTGCATTACGCAGTCGTCAGTTACAATGCTCAATGCTGTGATGATAATGTCATGAGTTGTCTGTATTAATTAACATTAAATAAAGAAAATAACTGATGGCGTTTGTATTCCATGTTTTCCTGATTTTTCTTTTTAATTCCAATTTTTTCATTTGATTTTTCACATTATGTTGAACTTTTTTTATATATTTTCCATCGGATATTTCGATTGAAAAAAAACGCGCAGATAAGCTGTGGAATTCTTCAACAGAATTAGCCAAAAACTAATAGAAAGTTCAATAGAAATCCAAAAGAATTTTCTAGCGAATTCGCAACATTTTTCTGTGAAATTTTTTGTAACCACTCTTCCTGACTCCATTAGATATTTTTGGAGCAACTAATTTCAAGGAAGAATGTCAATAGATTTTTTTTAAAAGCGAAAATATCCCATAAAAAATATATTCTAAAATTTTGAAACAGCTCATCAACCGGATAATTTAATATTTAAGATGTAAAAAATGGAATTGGTCGGCATCAATGAAAATTTTTCATTTTCTTCGAAGAAAATCAGAGATATCAGATAAACCCCTGTGAACCCGTTTATCTAATGACTATTAACCCAGGTGGTGAATTCTCATGGATTTACTGGCACTTCGCATGAGTCTGAATCGACAGGAGTTAATGCCCCCCATGAAGTTACGAGGAAACTTATCAAATTAAGATAACTTCTGCCACGACAAAAAAAAACGTCCCACGATTCCGTGAGACCTAAATTTTACAGGAATGAGAGAAAAAAATGTTGGGTGGTTAATGAGGAAGATTGGTAGTGGCTGATGAGACAGTTACACTTGTTCCTGACAATCACCAAACCACTATACCTCTATATCATATATTGATTGGTGCCGTCCGGTGCCAGGTGTTGCCTGCTCGCACTCTCTTTCGTTCTTGGGTCATCGAGGGGAGGTATCAAATCTCGACTGCGTGGATTAGTCGAGGTTTTTTCTTTCAGAGAAACTTGAATATTTTCATTATTTTTTTTAATAAAAAAAATAATAAAAATATATTTATTGTATATAATATTAATTTTATTATATTTATTATTATTTGTATTAGAACCTAGCAGCGTAAAGTCAATTGCAGGATCAAATAATTACTTGAAGTATCATCAAGTACAAATATGTAATTTAAAATTATTTACAGAATTCTTAGAGATATGAAAGCCGAAACTGGTGGAATGCTCGCCAGTGGAAGATTCAATTTAGGGGATTTTATTTAACAATTATATGTCTAGTAAAGAATGGGTAAATTTAATGAATAAATAACTGTTTATTACAGATTTTGGGGCAAAATAAATAATGAGAAGAGAAATAAAAAGAAAGGACATGTCCGCGGACTAGGAATCCTATTTTACTAAAGATGAAAGAAACGTGAAGTTGTTTTACATCGAAATATCTCGAAACTGCCTGACCGCTAATCCTCAATTCTGGTTTGTCAATGAGTTGTGAAGCAGGCGCTGAAAAAAAACCCCGGTATTTTCAAATTCTTCAAATGTCAAAAATTTGTTCTGTCATATTTTTTATTTTTTCATGTGTGAAGTTGATCTTTATATCAAAACATATCTAAATTGCCTAATTGTTGATCATGAGAAAAAAAACATAGTATTTCTAAATTTTTTCAACTCACAAATTATTCTTCACTTCCAAAATTTTAATTTTTTCATATTTATCACACGCCAAAATGATCAATTCTTGCTTCTCAGATTTTCATACATAAATTCTAAACTACAAAATTCACGAAAAATCTTCGGTTTCCCAAATAATTCGAGAAAAATCTGTGATCTACGGTTATCTGGAAAACTGTGAAATTTTCCGAAGAATTCAATAAATTTTTTCAGTTTTCTAGGAAATCAATTCATAACCCTCCCCTGATTTTTCAACAATTACAGATTTTAATCAGATTATTTTAAAAAGTAAAAAAAAAGAATTAGTCGAAGACTAAAAATTATTCATTGATGCTTCACTCTTCATTCTCTTCATTCTCTTAATTCTCTTTAAGTCATTATCAATATTTATAAAACATCTATGAGTATATGAAGTTTAATAAATTCGCTTTCTCCATTTCCACAACAAAAAGATAAGCGCGCGCGAAAACGCGCGCACAGATATAGTCAAGATAAAAGAAAAGCTGGTTGACAAGAAGGAAAAGGGCAAATTCGCAACATTATACTCCCTCTCTGGATAACGGCGCGTCTGTTAAAGACAATTGTAGTGAAATTTCAGTTAATCTCTCTATATGTGGACGTCCACACGGAAAGGGGCCACTTTTTCGATTCTAGTTTGCGAGATATTTATGTTTTCATCACGCTGTGCGAAAAAGTAACTTTTTAGGCACCCTTCGCGTGCCTAAAACGTCCTTTTTCCGCACATTGTGATGAAAAATATCGTTCGATACTCGTGGGAAAAGTGTTTTTTGGCTCGTGGGAGGTTTATAGCACGAGCCAAAATAGTATATTTCAGTACATGTGGGGCAATTTCGTCTTTAACGTGTGTGGGGTTTACAGCATGAGCCGAAGGCGAGTGATGTAACCACACACGTTAAGGACGAAATTTCCCAACAAGTACTGAACAAAATTTTATGTCACGAAGCCTGAAACCGGCTGAATTAGACACGAGACGCGAAGCGTCGAGTGTGTAATCCAGCCGGTTTCAGGCATGAGTGGCATAAAATAATT